ATTTTTGGATCCAGCCTTTGACAGAACCATCACATTTTGTAAGTCGTCGTGTTTTAATGCAGAGTCACATAGAAGCGTTGTGTTGGGACAGCTGGTAGCGACCACAGCTGAAGACCAGAAAGACGTATCGAGGAGCCGAAACAACGAACCGACCTGAACCGACCTGAACCCACTGTGGCTGCAAAACGTGACCCAGTGACCAGGCTGCCTGGTAACAAACATCAGCTGCTGTAGAACCTGAACAGAACGTTCATGCAACAGTTTGTGGAGCTGTTCATGAAGGCAGCAGCTCAGAATGCTAACGTTACTCTGATGCTCTGAGACAGAACATTTTTACAACTTTCACATGAAGTTAAACCATTTTTCTCTGGTTCTAAAATAAACTGAATAAACTGCAGTTTGCCAGACGTTGCTGCCTCTAAAACATGTCCCTGGTCCATAAAAATGTGTCTTCTTCTTTATAGGTAAAAAGGGTTCTCACTTCTGGATCATAGATATTAAAAACACTTTATAATTTATGGCTTTTGTCTGTATTTCACAGTTTATGCATTTAAAAGAAGACAGTGTTGTATTACTGTGAAGTCCAGCTGCATTATAAACAGTGAACCCTTAGAATGATGTGTGTCAGTAGAACGGTCTCTATTTTACTGTCGTTCCACAAGAGCATGAGATGCCGTGTTTTTCTTAAAACAAACTTTCTTGGTGTCAGAATCAGTTTCTGTGTTTGTCCTGTAAATGGTGAATTTAATGAAAACAGAGTTCAGCCTCAGCAGGATTATGATTAATGAGATTAGAGCTGTTCACAGGAAGCAGCGGTTAGCTTGATGAGCTGCTTTTATTGTGTACAGAAACAGGAAGCAGGTCTGACACAAATACTCAACTAAAACTCAACTAAAACTCAACTAAATGTTAGAATTCATCCTACATCCACCCGACCGGTGGAGGCAGATGGCCGTCCCTCCCTGAGCCTGGTTCTGTCAGAGGTTTTTTTCCCCTGTGGGGGTTTTTGGTTCCGTCCCACCAGCAGACTGCTGAAGCTTATAGAGAATCCAGATGTTTGGATTGTTGGGTGTTTCTGTCTCTGTGAAGCGCTATGAGATGACTGTTGTTGTAAATATGCGCTATACAAATAAAATGAATTGAATTGAATTGAATGTCCAGCAAAACACCAGAAACACCTTCAGAAATAGGATTCAGCTGATTTACTTCAGAAAGATGCAGCAAAGGTCCGATACTCGGCTCCTGCATCAGTTTGCTGCTGCTGCTGCTGCGTTTCCATGTTTGATTCCTTTGTTCTCGTCTTTAAGCCTTTTTGGGGATATTTTATTACTTTTGCACATCTTATGATTTGGATTTTTTTGGTCTTTCTGAGGACTTGGTTACTTCACAAAATTGAAAATAAGATCACTGATTAATCACTGATCAACCACCAATCAATCACTGATCAATCACGATTAATCACCAATTAATCACTCATCAACCACTGATCAATCACTGATCAATCACCGATTAATCACCGATCAATCAGTGATCATGACACATGACCAGAGGAGGGAAGGGGTTTTGGGGGGCAGGTCACATGATGTGAGAGGAGGAGGAGCTTCTGTGGACCAGGTGCTGAACCTGGAGCCCTCAGACGGCCGATCAGGTTTCAGGACTGAAAACCTGAAACTGTTTAGATTCAGAATGACTGTTGTTTTTACAGCTTTACAACTCAGAGCTGCTGCCTCTGGTCCAACAGTCAGCAGATCTACTTCATCCATCCTGGAGGAACCTCACAGCAACATGAGAACAATTATGCTGCTGATAGAAAGCCGATAAGGTTTTAAATGGTTATTGATCATTATGATCATTAAATGAAACAAAAGCTGAGGAAGCTGAAGTGAAGCTGGGACATGACGGTGCTATAAAGCAGGAACTTTCCAAAACTGATTTGAATCTTTTATAATGAAGCTGAGACTTTGGCATCCTCAGAGTGAGACTCAGGTGAGTCTCAGGTGAGACTCAGTCTTACCTTTTGTGATCCAGAGGAAGCACTGCGTTTCACAGATGAGCGTTTGAAGGATCCGTTGGTCCCTCTCCTCCCTTTGCCATCCATGATGCGAACTTCAGCTTGTCTCCACCTTCATCCTTCTCCTGGTCCTCCTGGTGCTCCTGGTCCTCCTGATGTTCCTGGTGTTCCTGGTGCTCCTGGTGCTCCTGGTGCTCCTGGTCCTCCGAGTGCTCCTGGTCCCCCTGATGTTCCTGGTCCTCCTGGTCCTCCTGGTCCTCCTGGTGCTCCTGATCCAGTCCGTCTTCAGTGGTGCATTCAGGCGTCTCTGGGTGGTCTGCAGCGGTGAAGACCTGTCCTCCGTCTGCCAGTGTAATCAGGATTAGTGGAAGGGGGCGGAGCTCTTTAATGGATGCAGATTTAATAAATGGTGATTGAAGATAAATCTACTTTAAACCTCGTCCAGCAGCAGAAGACAGATCCTGTCTTTTGTTGGTCTCTGCTGCTTGTTGCTTCAAGTTAAACCACAGCTAATTAGAACGTGCAGATCAAAGCGTGAAACTCTGGATTTCTGCTCTTTGTGTCTCCATGATGACGAGAAGCTGCAGAACCAGAGACGCTGCTTCACCGTCTCCAGGAGAGAAATCAGTGTTGAGTTTCTGTCAAACAGCAGCATCCTGATGACAGTCCAGCTACTGAAGCTCATACAGTGAAACTGAAAACATGCTGAAGTCAGTCTGCTGTTTGAACAAAGCACAAACTTCTGGATAAAGTCGGTTTCCTTCATGCAGCCAAACAGCAGGATGAACGAACCCTGAGCTGCTCCGTGGTTCACTGACTCTGGTGTGTGTTGCTGTTTATTTGGTGGCTGAATTTAATGTGAAATAAAATGATTGAAGGTTGCTCTAACGTGAGGATTAAAGTGATACTCGGCTGTAATCCAGCAACAGGCACACAAATAAAAACTCATTCAGCTTAGAAACAGTCAGGATTACTGCAGTCATCACATCTCCACCAGTGACGCAACATAAATCCAATAATAAAGGATGTTCTGTTTATCCGGGCCTTCTGTGTCTGTTAGAGAAATAAATGTATGAGTATTCCAGACAGTATGAAGTTCTGCTCATGGTCCTGGTAGGTCCACAGCTGAGCAGGGAGGGTTGGAGCCATCTAACGAGCTTCTCTCCACCTTTCTTGTCTCTCTGCTGACCTCCACTCTAAAGGCTTGAAAGGCCCAAAAAAAAAAGATATAAAAAGCTGCTCATGGATCCAAACTAAAGCAGCTCAGAGTTTTCCCCAGATCCAGTAGGACCAGAACCGTCCTCCTCCCGGTTCTGATCCTGTTAAACCAGAACCGTCCTCCTCCTGGTTCTGATCCAGTGGACCCAGAACCTTCCTCCTTCTGGTTCTGATCCAGTGGAACCAGAACCGTCCTCCTCCTGGTTCTCATCCTGTAGAACCAGAACCTTCCTCCTCCTGGTTCTCATCCTGTAGAACAAGAACCTCCCTTCTCCTGGTTCTGATCCTGTTAAACCAGAACCTTCCTCCTCCTGGTTCTCATCCTGTAGAACCAGAACCTTCCTCCTCCTGGTTCTCATCCTGTAGAACCAGAACCTCCCTTCTCCTGGTTCTGATCCTGTTAAACCAGAACCTTCCTCCTCCTGGTTCTCATCCTGTAGAACCAGAACCTCCCTTCTCCTGGTTCTGATCCTGTAGAACCAGAACCGTCCTCCTCCTTTTACCTGACTAACCCGTCCTACTGACCAGTCTTTGTCTTGACTAACCCGTCCTACTGACCAGTCTTTTACCTGACTAACCCGTCCTACTGACCAGTCTTTTACCTGACTAACCCGTCCTACTGACCAGTCTTTTTTTCTGTACCTGCCCTCTATGGAAGTCTCCTAGTGACAGGTCATATTTGCAAAGGAGAACTGGTTCTCAAACATTTTTAGCTGGTAAAATAAAGGTCAAAATAAAACAATCAAATGTGAAGACCATCAGAAGCTCCTGATGAAAGCTGTTGTTCGGTTCTTGAGCCCAAACAGTGTTTCTGTTGTGGCGCTGCTCTTGTTGCTCTTACTGTCCAATCTGTGATCGCTGACCAACAGCTGGGGAGGTTCTCATGATACACAGGGTTCACAGTGACCTGGAAAAGGTTCCTGATGAAGGAATCAGCCTCCCTCAGCTCACTGCTCAGTTTCATACTCGTCCTCTCTAAGTGCTAGTAAGACGGAGTGAGTTTCGTATCATGTGCTTCTTGGCCAGGCTTCCTTTTGGAAAGACGTTTTAATCTTAAGAAAAAGTTAAGAGTCATTCCATCGCAAATCATCTAAAGTGTACAACCATCCATTAACTTTTTCCGATAGTTTTGTTTTTTTTCTCATATTGACACTTGAGGCTGTTTGAACAACATCTGAGGAACTATTAAAGATAAAACCTGAAATGTTCTCTGTTGTTCTCATCATGCCATGCATTATTATAATATATAATATAACACTGGACAGTCGATCAATCATCTGATTATGGGGCAGATGAAATATGAAAAGTTCCATCTGTGAGCTCATTAACAGAACTCTGGTACTTCAGAAACGAACTTGTGAAACTCTCTGAACCACATAAAGGTGCAGGTCTCAGGAAAACAGAACTAACATAGAATACTGCTGATATTAAACACTGAGTCACATAAAAGAAAAGAGTTGAACTTTGACAACTGACTGAGCAGGTTTGACCACAGAAGCTAAAACATTGCTGGATATCTCAAGTTCTGGAGTTTTAAAATGGTTCTCTGAGAAAATATTTTTTAATATGAGAAATTAAATCAGTAAAAAACAAACAGGCTTTTATTGTTAATAGTTTCTGAGACTTTGTTCAAACAGCCTCAAATATCAAC